ATGAATCTTTACAAAAGTTGTCACAAGTTATACGCGCTGGCTGGCCTACAAAAACTTCCATGGTACCTACAGGCGCATAGCTTTTTTTCAAATAGAGATGAAATGACGCTCCAAAATGGCCTAGTTTTTAAACGAACGAAGATCGTTGTCCCAGAGAGCCTTCGCCGTGATATGATAGAGGAAACACAAAAGTCTCATCAGGGACTCCAAGCATGCCTTCGAGGGGCCAGAGAGGTTTTCTTCTGGCCAGGAATGTCTGCGAAACTCAAGAATCGTATTGATAAATGCTCTATATGCCAAAGTGTGAGACCTGAACAGGCCAGCGAACTTCTTCAGCCTCACCCAGTTCCTGACAGGCCATTTCAACGAGTTGGAACTGATTTTTTTACCTTCGAGAACCGAAACTACCTTGTATTAGTTGATTGCTACAGTAACTTTATCGAGCTGGATCATCTAGCCAACACTTCGTCCCAGACAGTCATTCACAAGCTGAAGATGCATTTTTCGCGACATGGGGTACCCGATTACGTAGTTTCTGACAATGGTCCTCAGTATACATTCTCAGAGTTCCGAAGATTTGCAGCAACATGGAAGTTCACTCACGTCACTACCTTACCACACTATTCACAAGTTAATGGGGTGGCCAAGGTGCAGTCAAAACCTGCAAGAATTTAATGAAGAAAGCTCTTCTGTCCCAATCCGATCCATATCTTTGTTTATTATATAACTATAACACCCCCACTGCTGCGACAGGTATTTCTCCATGCCAACGACTTTTTGGCCGCCGAACTAAGACACTTCTACCCTTCTCAGAGTCGTTACTTAAGACTGACCGAACGGCTAGTGATCTTCTCAAAAGGGATCGTGTCAAGCAAGCGAAACATTTCGACCAGCATGCTAAACAAATCTCAGAACTCAAATCAGGTGATATAGTGCGCATGAAAATGCCTGGAAAAACAAATTGGTCAAAAGCAGTTGTTTCTTCTAAGGTCGCATCTCGCAGTTACAAAGTTGAAATCAATGGTAGATTCTACAGGCGTAATCGCAAGCAGTTACGTTCTACCACGGAACCACTGCAAGAAACCTCCTTTAAAATGGACGAAGATGACCTGACTGTTCCAGACAATCTACAGGAACAGAACCAACCCCTTCCAGCAAGTTCTCAAGTAGAAACATCCACGTCCCCTCCTAGATCTCAACTACTCCCAACACCTCAAACAACAGAGCTGAGTGCGAGACCACCTCAAGAAGCTACTACAACTGAGATAAGGACACGACATGGACGATTGATCAAGCCACCTAAAAAGTTTGACATTGAGTTATTGTTAAAACAAAAAGTATTTGAAAAAGGGAAAGACGTTATGATATGTAGAATCTTCCGGAAGTCAACATTTTCTTTTTCTTCGACAAGACCGTTCTTGAATGTCGATCAGCTGATCTTTCTTACGTAACTCTCAAATGTTATGTAACTCTTAAAGGTTATGTAAC